CAAGATACACATTTTGATTTACCAGAGATAAAATTTAGAAAGTATAACAAGTCATATTTAATACTTTGGCAATAAAACACAAAGGAAATTTCTCCATTTACTATAAGCTTGATTTTAACAATGATAGTACAGAAATAAATGGAATGATAAACACTTTATATTTAATCAGGTTGTTTTTTGTCACTTTACAAAGGGATTTCTACCCAATATCCTAAATCAAATTCCAGTGTGGTGCTATTTTCATAATAATTTCAAGTGAGTTGGGGCACCTGAGTGGCACAGTCAGTTAAGTGTCTGACTCTTGGTTTTGGCTCAGTTCGTGATCTCAGGGTTGTCATCGCAGGATCATGATCTCAGAATCATGAGATCGAGCCCCACCTCTGACTCCACACTCAGTGCTGGGCAATCAGCGTGGACGTGGAGTCTGCTTGAGATTCTCTCTCCCTCTGCCCCTTCCGCTGGTGCGTGCACTCTCTCTCATAAATAAATAAATCAATCTTTAAAAAAAAAAATCTCAAGGGAGTTTTAAAGAGATGAGGAGAAAATAATAATCATAATAAATAACAACACAGGTTTATTTTAATTTTTGTCTATGCTTTTATTAAATATAGAAAGGATAATTGAGTATTTTTTAATTTATTAAAAAATTATTTTTTTAAGGATTTTATTTATTTATTTGTCAGAGAGAAAAGCATAAGCAGGGGGGTGGGTGGCAGGTAGAGGGAGAAGCAGGCTCCCTGCTGAACAAAGAGCCCCACGTGGGACTCGATCCCAGGATTCTGGGATCATGACCTGAGCTGAAGGGAGACACTTAATTGACTGAGCCACCCAGGCGTCCCCCCAAAATTATTATTATTATTATTATTTTTAAAGATTTTATTTATTTATTTTACAGATACACAGAGTGAGAGGGAACATAAGCACAGGGAGTGGGAGAGGGAGAAGCAGGCTTCCCGCGGAGGAGGGAGCCCGATGTGGGGCTTGATCCCAGGACCTTGGGATCATGACCTGAGCTAAAGGCAGATGCTTAACAACTGAGCCACCCAGGTGCCCCCCCCAAAAATTATTATTTTTTTTTAAAGATTTTATTTATTTATTTGACAGAGAGAGACACAGCGAGAGAGGGAACACAAGCAGGGGGAGGGGGAGAGGGAGAAGCAGGCTCCCCGCTGAGCAGAGAGCTCGATGCGGGGCTCGATCCCAGGACCCTGGGATCATGACCTGAGCCGAAGGCAGATGCTTAACCAACCGAGCCACCCAGGCGCCCCTAAAAAATTATTTTTAAGAATGAGTTTTTCTAAGTGTACTGTATGAGATTTAGTAAATATACCTAGTCTGTACTACTTTCAAAATGATTAGCCAATGAATTATGTAAATATCTATACTGATCAAAAGAGAATGGTTTAAAGTACACCATTCATTGATGCCAAATGAATTCTAAACTCCAGAGACTAACTTATTTAGCTTAGTCAGTTTTAGAAAACTTTTCTCATGTGTATGAAAAAATCATATCTATCTTATAAGGTTATTTTGAGGAATGGTAATCATCCATTCATTCAGTTCATATTTATCGAGCAATTGCTATATTTAGACACTATTCTATACACTGGGGATATAGTGAAAAACAATATACTCAAGTCTCTTGTTCTCATGGTAGGAGAAATGAGGTAGGAGAGATAGGGAAAAAACAAAACACTGAATATATAAACAAGATAATGTCACACAGTAAACTCAGCAGGATAATGTGATAGTGGGTAGCCATTTTATTGAAAGTGGTCCCAGAAGGATGCAGTGGCCATGAGGCTGGAGATTTTGTACACCATGCAGAGTGTGTTAAGAGTTCGGGTTTTATTCTGTCTGAAAGAAGCCATTGGAAGATTTTAAGCAAAGTGACAGGATTATATAAGGTGTTCACCTAGCACAGTACTCGGCACTGACAGATTACTAATTATTGAATGTTAGGCTTTGTAATCTTTTATCTTAATTCACAATAAACCAGGAGAGAGTTTTTCCCCCATACAATGTCCATCCAAGCAAAAGGGCCAATGTGCAATGAGAATTGCTTCTTGGTTTTACATTACGTCTTTGCAGTGAAAGAACAAAGTGAATCACATTTTGATATCCAACTTGGCTAATATTCTTAACCATGACTTTAAAAAAAATTAAATGGGAATAATTAATAAATAAATTAACACGTTTCCAGAATTATTAAAGAAATTTATCATAAAAGATGAACTGTCACCAAATTAAGAGTAGCAGGAATGTTACTAATAGTAACATTCCAGCTATTGCCAGGGACAGTGAATCTTCCCATCAGACAATGTTCTTGATGAGAATTGTCTCAATTGAGTGGCTTTCTACTCAGACTAAAGCTCAAAAATAGGTCAGAAACTTATGTATGTTGGTATATATGTCAAATTTTCATTTGAAGACTTTTTTTTAAAGATTTTATTTGTCAGAGAGAGCAAGAGAGAAAGAGAGAGATACAGAGCACAGTGGGGGGGAGGGGCGGCAGGCAGAGGGAGAAGCAGACTCCCGGCTGAGCAGGGACCCTGATGCGGGACTCAATCCCAGGACCCTGGGATCATGACCTGAGCTGAAGGCAGATGCTTAACCGACTGAGCCACCCAGGCGCCCCTCGAAAACTTTTTTTAATAACCACACTTAGCAAAGTTCTCTCCAAATTAAATAATAGCCATTGCTATGTAATTGTTGTATATTTGCTTCACTCTAGAGTTTTAAAAGTGAGTCACAGTCTCACCACTCACTCTGCTGTAAAGACATACTACAGGTTTTCTTTTGATCCCATGTTTATCAACTACATGCTATATCCTGTAAAAAAGTCAAGGATACAACACAATAATAGCAAAACCGCTAAAAACTCATTATGGGTTTTTATATGAGACAGTCAACACATTCTGGAAGAAAATACACTGAACTTCTGACTTATATATTATAATGACTTTAGGAAACACTGAATTTTAGAGACTTTAGAGTTTTTTTCTTATATAATGTAAATCTTATATGGGTAGAGGGCTAGTGAATATACATACAAGAATCCAAAGTAAAAATCATGTCTGTTTTGTAAAAAGCTCAAGAAATAAAAATATATAGAATGGAAATTAGTTACAAGATCACTTAAAAACAACAGTAGATAGAATTTCTGCATCACTGCTGAAGGAATTTGTTTACATCAAATTTATCTGGTCGATCTGATCCACTGAATCAGCAAGAAACGAGGCATTTCTAAAAACTATGCTGTGTGTGTGCGAGGGTATGTGTGTAAGCACATAGCTATTATGCTTTAAATTATGGATAACGCTGCAGATTGTCATCATTATTTAATCATGGGATAATTCTGTGTGACTTTAAGGAATTCTGTTAGTAATGGATAAATACACATTTTAACAATGATATTTTAAATTGAACACAATTCTAAAAGTTATTTCCAAGTAAAGATAATACTTATAAAGCGTATTTATATGCATTTTAGACATTAGAGTCAATTGCTCCACATATATTATTTCAAAGTCAAATTTTATTACTATAAATGATTGTGATCTCTTCTAGTACTACTTTTCACAGTTTGACCTGAAGAGCCCATGTGCTTGTGCATATACACAGTGAGAAGCCCCAGGGGGAGCAACTTGAACTCCCTCAAACAAGGTGGTCCAGGGGCCTGGAGTGCTCCTGGATCCACTGATATTCCTATAGCAGGTAGCAGCTTTGGAGAGAAGCCTGTTTCAGCCTAGTGTCTGGTGTGAAGATTATGACCTTCTAACTCCCAATGTGATCCTTGCCACAGTGATGCATTATTATTTCCATAACCTCTATTCTGATCTTACTTCTGGTGAACTGAGAAACTTCTGCTAGTTTTGCATATTTTACTGATGATTTTCAGTGTGCTCTGACTTTGTCTGCCCTTCTACTGTAACACAGTGCTTCAACCACAAGATACGAAGCCTCATAAGAATTAATTCATTTCAATTCACTAGGCTGTATATGAAATCTGTCTCTAGCATGCATCATCATAAAAATGGATGACAACTTACAAGGTTTATTATCATTAAAAACATACATCAGTGCCTCTGCTAATATTTTACTACATAAAACACACAAAAAAATGAAATCAGGGCTGAGATAGTTAAGAAATGTATAGAAAATGAACTCAGATTATCAAAATCATAAGCTTTCTGAAAAAGCTGGTCGGAAAGGCTGATTCTGTGACTAGAATGAAAGTAAACAGGGGAGCGGAGAGGAGAGGAAATAGATGGAAAGGTTAACATAGGGCAGAAGACCAGAGAAATGGAATTCCATAGCTAAAAAATAGATGGGAATGGTAATAAGTCAAATAGCTAAAATGGCCTGAAATTATAGGATTGAATTTGTCTGCAAGAAAGGTAGAATAGGAAATGGACTCTTTCCCCAATTTATATTTCCATATAAATATTGTGTGTTTGTACATGTCCATTGTAAGATTTGTTGGGTGGAAAGTTTGAAATTAATCTGTGTATTTTAATCACACAGTTACTAGACCCTAGTACCTTATAAGATCATCATCAGTTTCAGCTAGGTGCTCACTGAGTTCCTTAGCCTAAAATGAGTAGGATCTGGAAGGTTATCAATTTTAATATTTGGTAGATTAGTACTTGTGATCATTATTGATACCACTAAGAAACCAGTCTATAAATGAGATAATCTATATAAAGAATGTAGCACTCTCAGGGCGCCTGGGTGGCTCAGTTGGTTAAGCGACTGCCTTCGGCTCAGGTCATGACCCTGGAGTCCCGGGATCGAGTCCCGCATCGGGCTCCCTGCTCGGCAGGGAGTCTGCTTTGCCCTCTGACCCTATCCCCTCTCATGTGTTCTCTCTCATTCTCTCTCTCTCAAAATAAATAAATAAAATCTTTAAAAAAAAAAAGAATGTAGCACTCTAAATGGAGCATAGTAAAAATCTAATACATATTAGTTATTATTATCATTATTCTTTTTATTGGTAGATTCCAAAAATCTTCAACACATGAATATTTTCTTTTAAGAAATATATATTCTACTGGGACTCCATCAAGATAAAAAGCTTTTGCACAGCAAAAGAAACAGTCAACAAAATCAAAAGACAACCGACAGAAGATATTTGCAAATGACATATCAGATAAAGGGCTAGTATCCAAAATCTATAAAGAACTTATCAAGCTTAACACCCAAAGAACAAGTAATCCAATCAAGAAATGGGCAGAAGACATGAACAGACATTTCTGCAAAGAAGACATCCAAATAGCCAAGAGACACATGAGAAAGTGCTCAACATCACTTGGCATCAGGGAAATACAAATCAAAACCTCAATGAGATACCACCTCACACCAGTCAGAATGGCTAAAATGAACAAGTCAGGAAACGACAGATGTTGGCAAGGATGCGGAGAAAGGGGAACCCTCCTACACTGCTGGTGGGAATGCAAGCTGGTGCAGCACTCTGGAAAACAGTATGGAGGTTCCTCAAAAAGTTGAAAATAGAGTTACCTACGACCCAGCAATTGCACTACTGGGTATTTACCCCAAAGATACAAATGTAGTGATCCGAAGGGGCACCTGTACCCCAATGTTTATAGCAGCAGTGTCTATAATAGCCAAACTATGGAAAGAGTCTCAATGTCCATCAACAGATGAATGGATAAAGAAGATGTGGTGTGTGTATACTCACACACACACACACACGTGCACAAACACACACAGGCACACACACAGTGGAATATTATGCAGCCATCAAAAAAATGAAATCTTGCCACTTGCAATGACGTGGATGGAACTAGAGGGTGTTATGCTAAGCGAAATAAGTCAATCAGAGAAAGACAAGTATCATATGATCTCACGGATATGAGGAATTTGAGAAACAAGACAGAAGATCATAGGGGAAGGGAGGGAAAAATGAAACAAGACGAAACCAGAGAGGGAGACAAACCGTAAGAGACTCTTAATCTCAGGAAACAAACTGAGGGTTGCTGAAGAGGAGTGGGGTGAGAGGGATGGGGTAGCTGGGTGATGGACATTGGGGAGGGTATGTACTATGGTGAGCACTGTGAATTGTGTAAGACTGATGAATCACAGACCTGTACCCTGAAACAAATAATACATTATATGTTAATAAAAAATAATAACATAAAAAAAGAAATATATCTTTATAGTCATAGGTATGGAATTTCTTTAACTGAAGAAACTGGAACACAGAATTTCTTCAACTAATTATACAGGGATAGAAGAAAAGGGGAAAGGAATATGGGAATATTAAATGAGTAAAGAGATGGTGAAAAAAAAGAAATTAGAATTGAAATGGTATTTTAAAAATACCACACAAAATAGGGATACTCTCAAAGTGGGAATAGAAATACTGATTCAGAAGGGTCTGTACTGGGTAGGTACAGAACAGAGTCATCAGTGAAATACAGAAGTATTAGTAAGACATAAGTACCAAGGTCTGGCTAAAAGAAGTTTTTGGATTGGGTACCACAGGACCATGAAAAAGTTGATAATGCATTGTTTTAAGGTCCCTCCACAACTTTTAGTAGTAAAGCTCCCTTGATCAGACCCAAGACAACTTGCTTCTTTCTGAGGTCTAGACTAGAGGTCAGTTCAACAGGATCCTATGTTTGTAGAAAAGAGAGCAAGGCCTTTTTATCCTGATACTGAAATTGTTTTGGTTTTTTTTTAAAGATTTTATTTATTTATTTGACAGAGAGAGACACAGAGAGAGAGGGAACACAAGCAGGGGGAGTGGGAAAAGGAGAAGCAGGCTTCCCACGGAGCAGGGAGCCAGATGCGGGACTCGATCCCAGGACCCTGGGATCACGACCTGAGCCGAATGCAGATGCTTAACAACTGAGCCACCCAGGCACCCTGAAATTGTTGTTTTAATCTACATTTATTCACTTATCCTGCACAACTGTCTTCATGCAAAAATCCTGACAGCTCTTCCTTCCAGCTAGCTTCATTTATCTTATTTTAGTTTTCTTATTCCAAGGTAAATCGTTCTCACCTTCATTGGACTGGGCTACAGGTTCACTCTTTCTCCAAGGTACAATGGTGAATACTTGACTCTTGGCTATTAATGTTTTGTACTTACTGAGGATTGAACCCAAGACATCCCTGTTAAAGAGATCTTTCATGATTGCTGTTCTCTTTTAGTAAGACATAATTACAGCCCTAATGGATTTCAAGATATGGAGATGAAACTTCATTTACTAGGTAGGTATCAGATGACACTGGGATTAATTTCATTATATGTCATTATATTCCATTATAATGTCACATGTATCTACTAGAAGCTTTTGTAATGGTGAAGACATTAACAGTGGGAAAGTAAAAAGAATTATTTTTAAAAAGAGATATAAAGTAAGAAAGTCTAATAATGTCTTAGAATGTAATGTAGTACCAGTAGTTGAGTGGCAAGACTTCTAAAAGTAGTCTGATAATGGAAGAAACAAGTATTTCCAGACACTGGATGAGACTTGAAAATAGCATTCAATCAGAATCTAATCTTGAGCCAGATGAAAACTGGACAACCACTCCACAAGAGTCTCAAGCTTGCCTTTTTTGAGAAATTGCTCTCCTCTGCTGAGACAGAGATGTATAACCATAGCAAGGTATTTTATCAAATATATAGACTTAGAATTTCAGAATTGAAAAGGAGCCTGAAGATGATGGAGTTCAGTTCTTACACTTTATAGATACGGTGAAAAAGGCTATCGGGATGAAGGGCGTTGGCCAAAGTAATTCAGGTAACTGGGACACACCTGGGTATCAAAACTAATTCTCCTATGTTAATATTTAGTAAACATGACTTACTGTAAAGAAAAAGAATTCTATTTCTTAAACACTTCCAAGGCATTTTATCTATGAAATATCCTAAAGCTAAGATAAAGGAATTAAGCAAGAATGGATAAGTAACCAGTGGTACTTAAGGACATCCACTTAAGAAGGAAATTCATTTCTCTTAATGGGAGGTGAATGCATGGGATATGAGGTTATCCATTCCAAACTATTTAGCTTGCTTTTCTAATAATAGCTTGTTGTTCCTGCTTGGATACATGGCTAAGTAGTAAAGTAACTATGTGGAATAATGCATGATAATAACCTATTAGATTGTAGGTCCTTAGAAGACTGTTGGTCTCTCCTAATCTTTCCCTCTAGAGATAGCCTTCTATACTTCATGAGCTCATCTTGTCCTGGTTGTTTCCTGCTTCAATAAAAAACAGGTTAACCATCGATCCTGGGGGAACCAATGTATTGTTATAAATAAACTACATCCCATTAATTGGAAAAGTCCTTCAGAAAGACAGTCGTAGAGTGGATTTCAATTCACTGCACTTTCCTAGGAAAGTAAAGGATAAAGCATACCCATTATCTACTATTCCAACCACAGTTTTGGATAATGGATCCTTTCCTTATGGAAGTGCTGACAAAGCATGCCTGGAACCATTGGGAAGTCTTATGAAAAACAAAACAATAACATGTTTAATGATAAAAACATATTTCACAAAATTTGTAAGCAAGTAGTCAACTGTATCATACCCTCCCGCCCTCTCAAGAGTGTTCTGAACATAATAAGTTAAAGTCCACCTTCCTAACTTTCTCCCTGTCTTAAACAAACAAAAATGAATCAAGGAGATCATAGTACACACAAATAATTTTGCAATAATGTATGTACATAGATAATGTAATTGCGTCTGAAGCTGGCTTGATCTTCACCTTACGGTTCTTTGTTCTAAATTAACAATATTAAGTTAATGGGACAGACGAGGTTTTGCTGAGATTACATCATGGCTCCCAAGGTGACCAAGAATGGGAGATTCTTTGGGGATTCATTTCTAAAGTCAGAAAAATTTTCATGTAGTCAAAATTACTTGGAAAATCCCTTAGGAGAGTAGAGAGTGCAGTCTCTTAATAGATTCAACACAGCCAGTTTCCTTCACATTGGAACAGATTGCTGTCAGTTTTGTCAGCTGGGCCACATTGTTAAAAAAAAGAGTTATTTCTACACAGTTGGACTGTGTAGTTATATAAAAAAGGTTATTTCTGTACATTTGAAATGCTGCAGCAGATGAGCTGGACTCAAGCACAGGAGGCAAAGAGTTGAGGGAACTGGGGTCTTGTGCTCGCTTTGGTTTTAATGAAACTAATACACAGCTCCTTTATTGTTGATTTTTTGTTTTTGTTTTTGTTTTTGGTACCACCTGTATTAAAATGCAGGTCTTAAAGTCACTTGACAGTACTCAGTAAAAAGATGATCCTCCAATTTAACCAGAAAATGTGTACCTGGAATTTCTATGTTACAGTTTCTTCCAAACAAAATTCAAGTCACCAGATTTCCCCTAGAGAATTCACCGTTCCTTGAAATCACAATCTCAGAATATCAGGATTCTCCAGTTACAGATACACTGATATAAAATAATTTCTGCTCAAAAAGCACTAACACCTTGAGCTGTCACAGCAAATGTGTATCTGCTTAGCAAATATCAGTGAAATAGGGTTATTGCTAATACAGATGCAACCTGCACAGAGGTTTTCCTGGAGGCTGCTGAAAGCTGGCTTAGCAGACAAGCTTCCGGGCTAAATAAACCAGCACTACCAAAAAAAAAAAAAAAAAAAAAAAATCTTCAAAAAAGAATTCCTCTTGAAGCTGTCACTGCAGCGAGTTAGCCTCTTTGGATTTTGTATTCACTGCTATGGGACTAGCAATTACTAGCTTCCATTTGTCCTGTGGCAAGGAAGAGAAAATGCATTTATCCATCTTGCAAGAAGACAACTTTCACAAATGATGGCCTGTTCTGTTCCCAAAAGAGATCAAATGGAAGGCAGGCAGGCAGGCTCACCAATGTGCTTTTATAATCACTCTGTGCGTGGAGGATGTTACGGCACGACTAATGTCAGAGCACCTTCCTGCTTCCATCTTTTATGAATGCAAAAAAAAAAAAAAAATCTATAGTAAAGCTTAGGATTTATACAATTCTCCTCTCAGAGTTATGAACCGGCTCCAGAATCATACTTCTAAGGAAGTAAAATTAAAGGACAAAACCCAGCAATCCTAAGTAAATACAGTACTTTTCTTTTTAAATGGCAGTGAGTTTTTAAATTATTGATTGGTTCTTGAACTTTCTGCTGAACTATAATATACAGAAAAGTGCACAAATCAGAAGGTACAGCTTCAGGAATTCAAAAAAGCTAATATACCCTTGTAAACAACACCCAGGT